CACCGAAAACTCTTAGCGAAGAAGCTTTGTATTTTCTTTATCGGTTGAAGTTACCTTTTACCACCGAAAACTCTTAGCAAAGAAGCTTTGAATTTTTTATCGGTTGAAATTACCTTTTACCACCGAAAATTATATGCATCTTGCTTCCTTCTTGATCTCTCGGTATCTATCCCAATCCCGCACGTGTTGTGGTCGATCGTAACGTTGCGCCTACCTCTGTTTTCTCCCCACTGCGATACGGCAGTCCTCATTGTACCAGCTGATTTTACTACCTTTACGAAATCCAATAGTTTCGTTTGCAGCTGTACGCAGGTAGATTGAAATGCCGTCCCTCAGGTCTGGAACACCGAATCGCTCTCAGAGAGTAGGGGTGCAAGTCGAGTAGACAATCGATCGGTAGTCTATTGTGATTGCAACAATTCAACGTCGAACTTTCCTTGTGTTTGTTGACGGGCATTCTTCGATACACAGAGGCGCATGCGTATCTTTGCTGCGACAAGATAATGGTCCGAGTTGATGTATAGTCCTCACCATGAGCGATCTGGTTTTGTGTTTTTCTATCAGGGGACAGCCAAGTAACTTGATGTATTTTTTGCGCTGGAATCAAGTACTCCAGACAACCATATTTCGGGCCCCGGCGAAGTCGATCAGCCTCAACCCATTAGGGTATGTTTCGTTGTGAAGGCTGAATTGTCCAACAGTCGTACCAAAGATACCTTCTTTGCCCACCCTGGCAAAGCACGATTTTCACGTCGTGTTGGGGGCAGCGCTAGTAAGTATGCTCTAGGCGCTTATAAAGGCATCTTTGGCCAAATCGTCTTTCTCTTCCCCCCGGGCATGAGCGCAAATCAGCAATATGTTGAAAAATTTCGCTTTGATTCGGATTGTGGCGAGACGATCATACACCGGGATGAATGCCAGTAGCCGACGATGGAGTCTCTCTTCCACCACAAATCCAACACCAAATTTGCGCTCCTTTATATGGCCGCTGTAAATGTCATAAGAACTTACTCGCTTTCGTCTTTATCCAGCCACCGTACTTCTTGGACGGCGGTGATGTCAGCCATTATTCTTACGAGGCCATCAACCAGCTGGGCAGCGACACCTTCCCAATCAAGGGACCGGACATTCCAGGTCCATGCCCTCAAACCGTGATTCTTAATTCGTTTGCGGGGGTCCTCAACAGAAAAAAGGTATCACATCCGAAGCGTTGTAAAATTTTCCATTGGAGCTGGTTCCTAAGTGGCGGGTCCCAGACCCAGCGCACAACCTCGCCAGGCGCGTTAGTTTAAAGTTTGTTTTTACACATTTATATAGCGAGCCGCTTGCTTCAAGACCGACGCTCGCTTGCAAGCGCACCTCTGGTGAACAGACGCTGCAATTAGACTTCAGCAGACCCTTAAACCGAATAAGTTGGAATGGCTCCACAGAAGCTTCCTCTCTCATTAGCCGTGACCCAAGGCTCCACACAAATTGGTTACCGCATCTTGCAAAAGGGTTGCTCAAGTTTCCAGGGAGCGCGACGTGGACGTAAGAGTAGAAATTGAGTGCATCCTTGCAACCGTATATCCAGAAGTTTGACTACACTCCATTTACCCCCATGTATCATCTATGCTGACGCCAAATTTAAAGAAAATACCAAAGAAAAGTAGTAGGAAATACTGACGGTTTACAAAAACTTTATTATTACGGTTTCACCCCTACTAACTTTAGAATAAAAAAAAAACTTGATCAGCAGAGAAATAGTAACTAAATTAATTTTCAATATCTTTTGGATGTTGGTAGATTTAAACCCGAGCGTTTCGATTGACAGTACTCAATGCTAACCACTCGGCCATCACGGCCTCCATTATAATATAAGTATAATAAATGAGAAAAACGAATTCGCAAGCAATATCATGCATAATAAATAACAGTCCATATGCCAAATAGTAAGCTTATAATAAAAATATGAAGGAGAATAAGATTTTATATAACAAAAGGAAAGCACACTCAAAAAGTGATTACATAACGTGTTAACTACTTTTCCCATATTCTTTAGTACCTCCAATTAAAATGAAGTATTACAAAAATACGCAGTACATATGTCGATGAAACCAAAAAATAAACATATGCTACTCTATGACTCAGGAAATTTTTGCCGACGTTAAGTGAAAAGTTAACAATATTAATGATATTTTTCTTCGTTATTGGCGCTTTGTAACCGCTTTAGTAATTATTCTGCCGAGCAACTCCTCGGATTTGTGGTTTTGCGTCTTGAAGTTTTTCCAACAAATGGACGCACATACTTAGTATTAACTAGCCACCTCCGCACGGCTGATGGTTCGTTTTTACGAGGAGCTCTTATTTCCGAAATACACTCGGAGGGGCGGAACGCAATCAGAAAACTTAGTTATAGTAGTAGTTTATGCTTTTAATTTAAATTAATTTTCCATAACTTTGGCATGTTGGTGGCACCGGGATATGAACCCGAGTCTTCCGAGCGTCAGTACGCAATGCTAACCACTCGACTACCGCGGCCACCAATCATACATATAGCTACTGATATTAATATTTGGGCTGAGAAAGCAACTGAAAACTGAAGTTCTTTTTCGTCGAATGCCGAAGAAACTTTACAATTAAGTGATAATACTCGTCTTGCTACAATATATTAATTTTTTTAGTCTAAGAACAAAACCTATTGTACAGTCTAATGCAAAAGGTTTTTTAATCCCTCGCACTTTAGCAATGGCGAATACCGCAGCCGATGGAACGATGAACTCAACCATATATTAGGTGACATTGACATAGTTCGGTGGTCGTCAGTGCACTCCATATTTGAAAATAGTCGCTCTATCTACTGGCAGATATATAGGACGTAAAGAAAATATTAAAAAGATTAGGTGGAGAGAGATATTGCTAAGCTTGGGCTACGAATGGAGCCGAGTTGCAAAAAAAAGAACCTGAAACTGACGAGCTGTTGCTGCCGCGGCTATAATTGTGTAAACGGTGCCTTGTCAGAGGAAAGAGTAGGTAGGTAAATAACTAAAATTGGTTCTGGTTGTGGAAATACCGTTACATTTGTATCCAAGGTATGCCCATTTTTTATAATCATATTTATTTATTTAATATTAATCCGAAACTTATTATTGAACAATACATTTCATCAGGCTATTAGTCAACACCAACAGTCAACACCACCGGTATAAAAAAGACGTGAAAGAAACTAAAAAAGAATATCCTTAACGGTGGTTTAATTATTTTTCCTAAATTTAAAAAGATAAACAAGAATAACAATGGTCTAAATTTGTTGTAAGATCTATCAGTGCCGCCAGCATCGAAGTGGAAGAAGTATTAGCGATGTCCAATAGTAAACTCCTTAAAAAAAATAAAAAAATTGTTGAACGATTCTTAACTTTTGAAATATTGCCTGGTATTTTTGCAATCAAAGCAAAATACCACGAAAAAAATCATACACGAATTCGGGAAACAAGTTAAAGTTTGAGCATGCAAAACTTCACCGAAAAACAAGCAATGACTCAATTTCCGTCACAGGTGTAGTCTTACTCACTTCTGATTTGTACCATATCTTCTTCTTTGCACCGCTTATGCGATTATATATATAATGCCTTGGCACCCCACTAATTACTGAATTTTTGTTTTTTACAAGTGAAGTAATGAAGTTTTATTAGTAAAACAGTGAAAATACAATGAATTAGTGATAATAATAATAATATTTAGTAGGTTCACCCTTCCATTTAATAACGGCAGCAATTCTCTTAGGCATGCTGCGTCTTGACGCTTTGCACATTCGTCCGCACTTATAGCGTATCACTCATTAATTAAGGCATTCTTTAAAGCAGTTTGATTTGTAAAAAGGAGCATTATCATGCTGAAATTGAACCCCGTCTAAATTAGTATCGCTGAAAATGTGCGTAAACGTAGGCACAACAACAGCGACTCTCGCAAACGAACATTTCGCCGACACCATTAGCAGTCATGCAGCCCCAGATCATAATACTGCCTCCTCCGTGCTTAACAGTGGGTACAACGTAATCTGGATGATATTCTTCCCCAACCCGTCGCCTCACGAACATCACACCAGGCGTAATCTGTAGTAAAAGAGGAGAATTTTTTCATAAGATTTGTATTATGTCTTCAAAACTGCTCTAGGGTAAGAAGCTATGGCTGTTAATACTTTAAGACGATCTAAACTAAGCTTACCTCGATGTTTGATTCTAGAAGTCTTCTTCTAGCTAGAAAGGGCAGCTGAAAAGGCAGAAGAAGATTTTTTGCGATCCTTGAGAGAATCGCGTAAAAGTATTCGGTCTTCTCGTTTATTGGTTAGACGCTTTCTTCCCCCTTTTTTAAATGCGAAAATATTTTATGAATTTTTTAAAAATGGCAATTTTTAAGTTTAGTGTACCCAGAGTGCTATGACTTTTAAAATTACACAATTTATTCGTTTAATCAACAGTTAAACACCCATGTAAGACAGAGGAGAGGAAATTTAACTTAACTTAATTTTTCATTACCTTTGGATGATGGTGGCACCGGGATATGAGCCCGAGCCTTTGGAATGTCAGTATGCAAAGCTAACCACTCGGCAACCGTTAAAACCATTACGCGATTTTAGCCGAGTTAATATTAACGCGCCATTCTTTTCTTCCTTTCTTCCTCTTCCTCTGCTTCCGCCAGCGGTTATTGCTTTTGCAAATCCGAATCAATCCCAATTCTTTACTACGTTAGATTTGTAGTCAAATTAGAGAAAAGATGGCATTAATAATGGAAAATACTAGTTATGCCGTACACCATTTGCATTAAAATATGATTCAAGTGTTTTTCAGCGAGCAATCGACGATTTCATGAAATTAGTTTACGTAAAAAGGTAGACAGAAGACCGCATTTAGTGTTAAAAATTATACAAAATAGTTAAACAAATATTTACAAGCGGACAATGGTCATTTAGATGCTAGTAGGTCAGGTATTAAAATGAAACTCGATTCTGAAGCAATGAATGCTTTTTAAAAAAGGTAAAAGAATACTTGATGTTCTTTTACAAGATCTAGATTTTAATCGACCAGCAGGGTTGTCGCAAAATGACCGTCCTTAACAACGATTTCTCGTATTTTATGCTCATCCGAGTATTTTCAATTTCAGAGAAGAGTTCTAATACAAAGATGAAAAGTTTGTAAGCTTTTATAGAAGAGTTGTGTTCAAGTTTTAATTATAAGCCATGTAATAAAAATCAAGTAGTAGATGCTTGATCCAGACTAAATCTGAATAATTTGAGTACCAGTACTTCGTTAGAAACAGTGCATAGGGAAGATTCTTCAGGGCAAATAATTAAAACTGTTGAATGTCCAATAAATCAATTCAAAACTCAACTGATATTTCCAAATTATTTTCGCCCTCTAAAAAATGTGATTAAGCCTGATGTAACTAATGGGATTCATTGTGATCTGTAGACTTTAGCAAAAATTCAGAACGTTTTAGTGACATCATTTCCAGGTAATAAATTTCTGCATTCATAATTAATTGTAATAGGATTAAAAAATAAAAACGATCAATTTAATGACCGCCGGTAAGAACCCGCAAGCCAATAGAAAGAATGAAACGAAATTAGTAAATAAAAAAAGTTGTAGTCAAGGTACTAAATATAAATATAAATATAAATATAAATATAAATATAAATATAAATATAAATATAAATATAAATATAAATATAAATATAAATATAAATATATAAATTGAAAGGTTTCAGTCGACATTAATGGAGATATCACAATGTATTAAGGAGCAGCAACAGCTAAAAGAGGCTGTTGATCTTATATTTTTAATAAACATTTAAAAATAACAATAGTATTCTTTCCATAGCAAATGCTGAGCCAATGAAATATTTTCTAAATTGATTTTTAGAAAAATCAAAAGAAGCTCGTAAATATAATAATTAATTGAGGCACAATGAAAAAATAAAAGACTCGGTAATAAATTTGATAACATTTTTGTAGAAAAGACTGAAGAAAGGAATTTGGATACGATAGTTTCAATAGATTTAAGACCAATTTATAAAAGTATCCTCAGGTGATCATTGTTAATAAAGGATTAATAAAACAAATTGCTGATGGTTATAAATAAAACGGGGACGTTTTAAATTTAAAAGGGATAGTAGTTAAGGACTGAGTAAATAAATTAAGGAGGAAGAAGCGCTGTCTCTTATATAGCACGTACTGCTCATCGTTCCATCGTCTGCGATACTCGCCCTTGACAATAGAAATGATGAGTGACTTGACGATTTTTTAGTTTGTAGAGAGAGGACTTTATTCTTCAGTTGCCTAGGCAGTCCAAAAAAGCACCTGTTAGCAAGAGTTACTCTGCGTTAGATTTCATGGCTGAAGTTATTCTTGGTGCTAATGCTGGTTCCTAAATAGAAAAAATTATTTGCGATCGAATTCAGACATACCACCGTAAAGACAGATCTTTACTGTGCTGTCGAAGGCTGCTTTAAAATCGATGAAATGGTGATATGTATCGATTCTTTTCTCACGGGTCTTTTCTAAAATCTGTCGCATTGTAAATATCTGATCAATGGCGAGTTTACCCGTCTAAAGCCATACTGATAGGGTCCAATCAATTTGTTCGCGGTGGGAGTTAGTCTTTCATACAATATGTTCGATAGAACCTCATATGCTCAGGTGGGAGCACACTTAAGTTTAAATCGCCAGGCATGCTTTCGTCTGATCGTATTCTAAAAAAAGCTGATGCATATACCTTTTCAGCTCTTTATCATCTTGTTTCAATAGCTCAGCCGGTAAGCCAACGCCCCCAATCACTTTGTTGTTTTTAAAGCGGGCAGTCACTATTGAACCTCGTTATAGTCGAGTAATGGAACGTCCTTCCCGTCGTCATCAATTGAAGCCTCGTGATCGCCATTTTCAGGTTTTGAATTTTCACTACTTCACTACAACAAGTGTACTTGTTCTTGAAACCTTCGTTCATCGCCCTATCCTTTTATAGAATATTCGAGCGGTTTTCTTATCGGCCAGCTTCTCAAGCTGTTCATACTCACGCATTTCAGCCCGTTCTGCTTGCCGTTTTCTCTCCACTGGAGTTCTTTTTTTGGCCTCGCTAGAAACCAAATGTTTGCCCAGCGGCTTTGCGTAGGGGGTTTGTGATGCCCTTCCGCAGATCCCTTATTTAATATTACTGATGAGGGCTCTCGGAAAACAGATTTTCAAGTAGAGTATTAAAATGTTCCACAGACGCAGGCGCGTATATTCTCCGCGAGAATACGGTGATCCAAGTCGATGTTAGGTCCTCTGAACGTATGTACATCTAGAACATTGAAGAATTGTGGCAAGACATTCATACACCTGAGCGAATGCTATTGTAGTAATCGGCGGCGGAGTCTCTTCCCCACCACAAATTCAACATCAAATTTGCGTTCCGCACTTGATCGAAGCTTTTTTCTGTTCATCATTCGAGTGAACTTTTTCATGTGGTGGGTCTCAAACTTTTACTTTTACTATCCCACTTAGGTTCGCCTCCAAACGGACGTTTGTTGGCTACGCAGGGGATACTTGGTCCGAGACCGGAAACTGTGAGCTGGTTGTAAGCCATATGCAAAAGAATAATTTCTGGTTACTCCAGGCGTATGGTAATCAACGCTATTCACATCCTTTATACCACTGAAAATATATTATTTAGATTTGTCTTCAATATGGTTTTCTATTGCCGCTTGTCTCCGTTGCTTCGTTTTTAAATTTAAGAAAAGAAAAAGGTTACTCAGCCAAGTTCTGACTGTATTGTGATAGTAATGGTAATTGGACTTAGAATTGTATTGACGAATCAAAGTTTCATCAACTGTTGCAATGTGGCTGCATATTACATCTTAATCATCTTGACTCAACCCCAAAACATTTTAACAACTCTCCCATCGTCGCTGCTTTTCGAGCGGTGTTATCATTCGCGCATTAATTCTTTTCGTGTTCAAATCTTCACGCAATATCTCTCCCGCATATTCTTTGCTAATCTGTAATCCTTCTGCTATCTGCCAAAATTTATTTATTCATTCAGGCTGTACTAATTTTTCGATTTTCTGAACCCTTTTCTTCGGTCACGACCGTCACCGGGCGGGGATTATCTCAACTGGTCTCTCTTCTTTGTTGAAACAGCCTATCCCCTTTTTTCACCATCCCGGTTGAATAGGCAGAATCTTGAAGAACCAATGACATCTATTTAAAAATTTCTTTCGGCGTACTTCCTTTTTTTACACGGAATTCGATCAATCTGTTTTCAGCTGATAGTGTTCTATATGGCCTATGATGCAAATGTATCTCCAGCGCACGCTGACTTTGTGGCATTGCTTGGCGAACGATGCTAACGCGCGCCAGCATAAATATAAACGAAAGTGAGTTGCTTTTTAACTTTCTAGAACTAACTTACTAGTATGCAATAGAAGAAAAACACCATCCTCCAAAATGTTTTCGTATAAATCCGAGAAGAAATCTCATAATTACGAACTGATTTAATTTGTTAATAAAACGCATTTTAAAACTTAAACTTGTAAACTCGGGCGTGCCTTGTGCATAAGACATTTTATTAAAGCCAAGAGGCTATCTTATGAGTCGTATAGAGAAACATTTCATAATGCAACAGACGGTGCTACCTCAATTACAGAATATTTACCATCCAAGTCCTGGCTCAAGTTAATTTTTTAAGCTAGTTTAAAATATAACTGCATACTGGAAAACATCATACACTGAAAATTCTCTCAACGAAAAGGAATCAGATAAATCTGCCTTAGAATATCTAGGGATTATCACCCCTGATTGAGTTCAAAAATCAGCTTCTCCTGTATATCCGTCTATCCGTCTGTCTATCTCACATGCTCTTGCGGTTAATTCTCTGCTGACAGGAGAAAAAGTTAGTATCGTTGCAATCGCCAATAATATTGCCGTAGCTTACAGGCAGATATAAAAAGGCCTCCATCGTCCTTTGTGTATGTAAAAGAGCCATTAGTAAGAAATAGGGTTTAAACCCTAAAGGTGCCATCAGGCGTAGCCATCCGAAGTAGCAATTATTTTCCTTTGCTGCATGCAAAAATGAGAAA